TAGAAAGAAACCACAACCTCTCCCAGCTAGCATCTGCATCTTTGGGGGGTTTAGCAAGGCCCGTGATCATTACTCATTCATTTAAAGAATATTTATTGATTTCTGCCTGTACTACTACAGTACTATTGTCTTACTTTGGGCTATGCCATCTGCCAGATGCTGGGGCTGCAGCAGTAAACAATTTACTCCTTGCCCTCAAGAAATGTATGGTCTAAAGAGGGTAACAGACACGTACTAGACCATTATAACACTGTGTGACTAGAAGTAGCACAGAAGCACAAAGGTGGCACCTAGAGCAGTCTGGGGAAGTCAGAGAAAATCCCTAGGAGAAGAAGTTCTGAGTCCTAAAGGATGAGTAGGAGTTAGCCAGCTTGTGCAAATGGTCCCTGCCGTATCCCTTTTGGTTGCTTGGTAAGCCCAATGCAGAGACAGATAGGTCTATTTGGCTTTAAGTGCCTCTAAAACTGCTAAAAAATGTCACCTCTACCCCTCGAGCACCAGCCACTGCTGTGGGGTCTGGGTAGGAGGGTGCAGGGCCTCTCTGGGCACTGGCAGATAAGTATGGGCCACAGCTAAATACATGTCTCTCCTCTGCCCACCCCACCCCCACCTCCTCGACCAGGGATGCCTATTAATCCTGACAAATGATGACTTACGAACATGTAATGCAAACTGATTCATCATACATTCAAATCCACCGCCCCGCCCCAGCGGGAGGCCCCAGCCAGACAAGTGTATTACACGGATAATGTATTTGACGTATTAATAAAACCAGCCGCATTGCTCTGGCGCAGGGACTGGGGAATGCCAATATACGATGACAGATCACATATTGATGAAATCCAGATGTTTGGAATCATAGTCTTGGGGCCTTGTTCATATTGACTGAAGGTAAAAAATGCCGTCTGTCAGCATGTTAACTCTTCCTGTTCCACACACAGCAGAGGCGCCAATCATGGTTTTCTGGAGAGAAGAGGAGGAAGGGGATGCGTGAGAGGGGACAGGGGATGAGTAATTAGGTGGTTTGGATGGATGAAGAATAGATGAAGTGGGGGGAAGTCGTACTGTGGATATGATGGGTGGTTGGAACACTGCTCATACCTTCTGTTCTTGACCTCTCAGTAGCATGTGACCCTATCCATAACATTCCCCCCATTCCTTGAAATTCTTCCCTTCTTGGCTTCTATGACGTCACACTTGTTTTCATCCTCCTCTTGTCTGTTCCTTCTTAGTTTTTGATGACTTAAATTTCTTCCACCTGTTGGAGTTACTTAGGGTTACTGTACACTCTCTCCCCAAGTGATCTCACCTACTCTTAACATCATTCCTTTCCTCATTCACTCAGGAAATATTTACTGAATATTTACCAAATGCCAGACATTGTTCTAGTCACAGAAGATGCAGTAGTGAACTCCAGTTCCATAATTCTAGCTCTGACTTACATATAGTGCCTACTCAGCATTTTCAAATGGATGTCTTAACATGGCTTAGCTCCTCACACTGAATACATTCAAAACTGAACTCATCTTCCTTGCCAAGCCTGCTGCTCATCCTCCTGTTCCACAAGTCAGTAAATGGTCTACCATCTAGCAGTTGCACAAGCCAGGAACCTGGGAGTCATCCTTGACTCCTTTCTGTCCTTTTCCCCAAGTCCAATCCACCTACCTCTGTTATCTCCATCATCATCATCATCGTGCTAGGACAAGTCACCATTATGCCTCACCTGAGTTAGTAAGATAACCTCCTAAACAGCCCTCCTGCATTTGCATTTTAGAACAATCTTTTTTAAATGCAAGCCTGATACATCACTTCCCTGCTTAAAACTCTTCAATGGCTTCTCACTTGTATGTTTAAAAACACACACATACCAGCCCGGCACTGTGGCTCAGTGGCTGAGCATCAACCCATGCACTAAGAGGTCGCCAGTTCGATTTGCGGTCAGGGTACATGCCCAGGTTGTGGGCCCAATCCCCAGTGGGGGGTATGCAGGAGGCGGCCAATCAATGTTCTCTCTCATCGATGTTTCTATCTCTTTCTCCCTCTCCCTTCCTGTCTCTCTAAAATCAATAAAGAAAAAAAATTTTTTTAAACACACCAAATTATTAATGTAATTTTTAAAATCCTCCAGGGTCTGGCCTATCATCACATCTCAACACTCTGCCCCTCACTGTTCCTGCTCCAGCCACACTGAACTCTTTTCGAGTCTTCACTTGGGCTTCCTCCCCTCTGTGCCTTTAAGCTTGCTGTTTTCTGTCCAGAACACCACTCCACCATCACTGCCTAACTGGTTCCCACGCATCCTTCAAGTCTTTGCTTAAACATCACTTCCTTCACCTCCCGCAGTAGATGGTATACTCCCAAGTTCCATGTACTTCCCTTTTTCTAAGACCACTCTGAGGACGTTGGTTTAATATCTCAATCCACAGTTAGGTGCTAAACTTCCTGAGGGCAGTGTATCTGTCTTCCTCATTATTGTATGGCATCCATACCAGCTGACCCAGTGGCCATCTGTTGAATATTTGAATCATTGCTGAGGTGGGTGGATGGGAGGGTAGGTAGCTGGGTGTTGTGCAGTGGTTAACAGCATTCGTTCTGGAGACAGAAGTACCTGGATTTAAATCTCTGCTCTGAACCTTCTAGCTCTGTCACTTCATTGTTCTGAGCTCCCTTTTTCCTCATCAGTGTGATAAAGATAAATAACACCTCACCTCTGGAATAGTGTAAGGATTAAATGAGATAAAATGCACTAAACCTACAGCCTAACATATAACACTCAATAAACAGTTATTATTATGGATAAGTAGGTAGATGGACAGATATATTGACATACAAACCAATAAATAGATATATAGGTGCATGTAGAAGAAGAAGGAACTCCATGGAGGACAAAAAGGGCCAGGGTACCTGCCTATTGAGTGATGCACAACCTAGATCATGGCAGAGAAGAAGGTCAGGTGCAGGGCAAAGCCAGGCTGGTATCAGGATGGGGTAAATACAGGCACAAATACAAACTGTGCTAGTGTCCTACCAGAGATAATAATGACTCATCACCTGTACACAGCCTTCATTTAATTGGTTAGTAGTGGTTATCCCTACTTCACACAAGAAGAAACTGAAGCTCGGAAGTGTTTCGTGATTTGCTCAGGGTCTCACGGCTAGTAAGAGGTAACTCTGTTGAATATTGCTTGAAGGCTCTTCTAAGTCTTGGTCACTAGGAAATGAAAGCCCTTCTGTCAGAGGTGTGAGGAGAGGACGGGCAGGACACACACATGTATACACACAAACACACATATAGACACACGTATTTACTCTTAAAAGTTTCCGCCTCCATTGCCATCTGTCATTAGAGTTAACCCTCACCCTCATTTTAACCCTCCTCCTTCTTATGTCAGACACCAGGCAGTTAAGCCCTGCCTTATAGGTCTGTAGAGAAAAGATCATGGAGCTGGGATTTGCTGCTTGAACAGAGAGGCAAGAATGGAACCACAGCCCTGGCCGGTTTGGCTCAGCGGTTAGAGCATCGGCCTGCGGTCCGGAGAGACCCAGGTTCGGTTCCCGCTAAGGGCATGTACCTCGGTTGCAGTTTGTCCCTGGCCCTGGTTGGTCGTGCGGGTGGCAGCCACTCGATGTGTCCCTTTCATGTCGATGTTTCTCTCTCTCTCTCTCTCTCTTCCTCTCTCTCCCTCTCTCTCCCTCCCACTCTATCTGTGCAAAAAAAAAAAAAGAATGGAACCACAAGCAACAGAGCTGGGACAAAACCAAACAGGCCAAGCCAGAGAGGCCATCACGTGGTGGGGAGTTGCAGGGCCAAACGTGGGTTAGTGACCTAGGAAGGGAGGACTTTCCCTTTGAGTGAGACCCTCCTCCTCCAGTGTCCACTGCTGCAGGCCTCACTGTGGAAAATGACCTAGAAGGAGCAGCTGGGCCAGCCCTGGAGCTGCCTGCTCCCAATGGTCAGCAGTTCCCAACAGAGGGGGGCAGCAGAGGGCTGATCTGGGACCCCGGTACTCCAGACCTGGTTGCAAGGCTTGAGGGCTGGACTGGCCAAAGCCTGGCCCAGGCAAGGAAAAGGCTACTTGGCTTGACCTCTCCTCTCTCCTCAACATGTCTGTATCCCCCCTCACAGCCCAGTCAGTCACTTCCTGTTGAAGACAATTTCTGGTAGGGAAGGTATTCCGGCAGCTCAGAAAGGGAAAGTGACCCTCTAGAGCCACACAGCTAGGGAGCCTCCAGGCAGGGCCTGACTCTCAGCCCTGACTCTTCAGTCACCTCTCAGCTCTTTGAGCTTGAGGTGCCCTACCTAAGGCTGAGGAGAGGTCAGGGCCCCTCTGCTCCCCACTCTCCTCTTGCTTCAGGGGATACCTGCGGCAGGCAGAGCAGTGGAGGTGGCAGGTGCTGTGGGAACTGGGAGGAGGGAGGAGGTGCGGTAATGAATGTGGACGGGAGGCGGAATGAGCGATCCATCTTTGCATGGGAGGGGAGGGGGCTGCAGGCGTTCCCCCCACACACTCACACACTCAATCAGGCGCTGTCAGACCTCCGGCCGCCTGGCATTTTGGTGAAGAATCTCTCAGCTAAAAATTGTTGTCAGTCCCATTTCCTCGTTATCAGTGCAAGGGCTGAGGCAGCGCTCGGGGATTAGCAGGAGCGGCGAGCGCCCGCACCCTCCATCTACAGCCGATAACACCGGGCCTCCCGCCTCACCTCCCCCATTCATCATCTTTAGCACTGACAGCCCGTCCCAGTCCCTGTCCCCAGCCCCTCTGGCTTCCCATGTCTCCCCACCGTGCTGCTCAGACTGGCTCCTGACCTCCCTAAAGAGCTAGGACTCCAAAGAGGGACAAGATACAACATAGGCCCGAATGACCTAGACCCACCTGTGGCAAAGGGCTTGGCCAGCTATGGGGTGGGAGGTCAGGGGCAGGAGTAAGGGATGCTCACGGAGAAGATGCTTTCTGACAGCCTGCCGCTGGTGGGCTCGGTCTGCCTACCTATGTTGCTGGCAGTGGTGTTGAAGAAGGGATTTCTGCATCAGATGGGCAGCTGGGCTAAGGATTTCTGGAGGCCTCTCCAGCCTGGGAACTGTGGAAAGGAAGAGCCAGAGGATGAGGAAGAGCCGTCCTCCCAGGCCTAGGAAGAGTAGGGGGTTGAGGACTTCATTCCCACCCCCACCAGACCAAAGCCCCCTCCTCTTGGCCATCCCCAGTGCTTTTATGGCCCATTTTATGGCCACTGTAATGGCCCAGGTCAAAAGCTTCAGGGAGCTGTATTCTGGGAATTATGCAAACGAGGAGCAGGCCCAGGGCCAGAGTATGGATTTTGTCATTAAACCTAGGCAGGCCATGTCGTTAGTGCAGTAAAACCCACGTCATGACCACAGGTCTCAATATAAAATTATAGGGAACACAGCGGGGGAGGGGAAGCAGGAGGCCCATGGCCATGCTGACACCTGCCACTCCAGCCCCTGAGAAAATGGGGTTGGGATGGAAAACGTAGGCTGCGGAGTTCCTCCTCAGATTCCTCCCCGTGCTATTCCTGAAGCTGGGAGCTAGGAGAAGGCCCATTGTCCTGACAGGGAAACCGAGGCCAAGCTTCAGTTTCAGAAAATAGATCTCTATGGCAGCAAGACAGATGGACTGAGAACAGGTATGTGGGAATGCTGAAGCCTGGTGCCAGGCTTGGCAGAGGAATCTGGGCTCTGGGAGCCCTAGGAACCAGAGCTGGCATCCCAGGCTAACGGGGCTTAAACCTTCATATTTCCACCTTAGCTCAAACCCCATGCCTTGGATCCTCCTCCTTCTCCAGTCTCCTCCCTCACCATCTTCCCCCTTAAACGCAGGCCTGGGCTCCGTGATCTGTTTCAACAGCCTTGTCAACTCTTATTCACCCTTCCCTGGACCTAGCAGCCCTCCCTCAGCCCTGACCAGGGCTGCACTGATTGGAATCACTAACTTTCCCTCTTGGCTTCCCTACTAGTTTGTGACCTCCTTGAGGCCAAGGATGTGTTTTATTTATCTGTGAATCCCAGATTCTCCTAGAATAATACCTAAAGTAGAATAACTGTTAATAAATGTTTGCTGAACGTAAAAATGAATGGGGCAATGAGGTCAAGAGCCAAGTACAGGGGTCCCTGTCCAGTTCTGAGCCTCAGTTTTCCCATCTGTAAAATAAAGATAATGGCCTGGAGACTGTCTAGGGTCTCACTCACCTCTGTGATTCTCTGGCTGAGTGAAATTAGAGGCAGAGCTAAGACTCAAATCCTCATCTCCTCACTCCCAGACCAGAGCTACATCTGCTTTTACTCAGAGCTGCCTACCTGAGCTGTCCCCTGAGCAGCTGAGGCACAGCCACCAAGGCACAGGATCAGTAGGGCCTCTATCCTTCCTCAGAGACCTAGCCACAGGCTAGACAGAGCCTTACCTACCCCACCCTGATACAAACAAAGCTTCCACAGCTGACACCCCAACTCTGCAAAGGTCATCTGGCTTCCAGGACAACCTGCTCTTGGTTCCTATCTCACTTCCCTCCCTTCCTCTTTTCCTCTCCCTTGCTTCCATTGAGCGTCTAGCCTGTGTCAGGTCTGTTTTCTTTCTTTTTTTTTTTTTATCCTCACCCGAGGACATTTTTGCATTCATCTTCTTCAGATAGAGAGGGAGGGAGAGGGGGAGGAAGAGAAAGAGAGAAACACCCACATGAGAGAGACACATCAAGTGGTTGCCACCCACCTGACCCCAACCTGGGCCGGGGACAAACCGCAACCGAGGCACGTGCCCTTAGCGGGAACCAAACCCGAGACTCTCTGGTCCATGGGCCGACGCTCTAACCCCTGATCCAAATCGGCCAGGGCTGTTTTCAATTGTTTGTAGATATAAAGATGGATAAGAAATGTTCTCTGCTCACAAGGACCTCACAACCCATTCATTCATTCATTCGCTCCCATTCTCTGCCTGGAACACTTCTAAGTCACAACCTAAATTTCATTTCTTTGGCTAAGCCTTTTTTCTACTCCTGAAGACACACACCCAGAATAAATTACTCCTTCCTTTGAGCTCTCAGAGGACTCGGTCGGGCTCCGTGGAGAGCCATGGTCATTCTGTCTGTGTCACAGGGGCGTGGGTCCTTGTGCTCAGCCAGAGCTGGGAGCTCCTCAAGCAGCGTTGCTAAACTACAGGGCATCCAGGTAAATTTGAATTTTAGAAAAACAATAAATAACTTTTAGTCTAAGTATATCCTATGCAGCATTTGGGATGTACTTACAGTAAAAAATACTCATTGTTTATCTGAAATTAAAATTTAACTGGGCATTTGTATTTTTAATCTGGCACCTTGCTCAAGCAACCATCTTGATCGTCACCGGCACAGCTAGTCTCTCTTAAAACGGACTTTTACCTTCCCCGGGCCCCAGTAGGTAGAAGAAACAGCGAGAAAGTTCTGGGCTTAAGCTAAAAGACTCCTTTCTGCAGTCAGAGTTCACATGGATAGGCAGGGATGTTTCTAGAGGAACAGGACTCCTCAACCCTGTGCCTACAAGCAGAGGCCGGGGAGGCCTGGGTGGGGAAAGTGCAAGGGAAGGGGTTTAGGCATCCCAAGAGGGTGTACTGGGCAACCTTCAGGCTCCTTCCCAGTATGGTGTGTTCTCGTTGCCATCAGGAACAGAGTGGGGACAGAATTTAGGCTCCCAGCTGGCCCCCAAGCCAGTAGAGCCAGCACTGTACCCATGTGCACTTGTGTATTGGGAGCACACATTTTGAAGGATGTTTTGGAGGGGAAAGTCCAGAATCTGTGAAACTCACAGAGGCCAGCGAGTGGCATAGCCTGGAAAGGGAGGGTAAAGACTCCAGCAATACTGAAGGTGAGAACAGACAGGACTGGTGGCCAATGTTACTGGCCTGGGTGACTAGGTGAATGCAGGTGTCATTAACTGAGAGGGGCACTACTATAGGGAAGCAGGTCTGGGGAGGGTTGAAGAAGCTAAAAAACTAGTTTGGGGATTGTCGAGTTTCAGATTCTCTGGGGACATGCAGGCATTGGTGTCCCAAAGGCCTTTGAATATAGGGGCCTGGAGAACACGGGAGGGACCTGGGGGTGAGATACAGATGCTGGAGGGCACAGGAACAAGATCACCCAGTGTGCAGAGCGAGGAGAGAACAGGCTGAGGAAAAGTGAGGAACTGAGAGAGAGCCACCCTGAAAGATGGCGTTCACCCCGGTCCTTGTCAGTCTTTTCTACTCGACTGTGAGTGCCTCAAGGGCAGGGACCAGATCTGATTGTAGTCGGGTCCCACTGCTGAGGGTAGACAGCAGACAGTGTTTGTTGAATGCTTGCAGGAAGAATGCTTTCTCTTTTCTTCCTTCTCCAGATTTGGGGAGTGTGAAAGCAGCGAGGAGAAAGGAGAAACAGAGAGAGGGGGCCCTGGATATTCTGGGTGATGGTATGATTAAACTGAGACCTTCACTAGCCTATGCGAAATGAAGTGATCAAGGTTTGATTGCCTAAAGCAGCAATGTTCAACCTTTTCCATCTCATGGCACACATAAACTAATTACTCAAATTCTGCGGCACACCAAAAAATATATTAATTTTTTGCCAATCTGACAAAAAAAAAAAGGTATAATTTTGATCCATTCACATCAGATGGCTATTGTTGTGTTGCTTGTTGTCATTTTTTCATTTGACAGTCTAAGGGAAAAGTGCCCCTGACTAAGTAGTCAAGTATTGCATGTTTTAAAAATTCACCAGTGTACGCAGCACTCTGGTTGAAAATCGCTGGCCCAGAGGATAGATGGTGTTCCGGTAGATTTCTGAGGGGCAGCTGGCTGAGGAGGCGCCGTTCATGGCCCCAGCTTCTGGAGCTGCAAAGAGGAGAGATGCTCATGAGCTCCGAGAACCTCAGGCTCACTTTTCACCTAGGAAGCGCCAGCTGACTTGGGTTGAAGGATTAGGACACTTGGTTTCCTGCACAGACCAGACCAGCTTATATTTCTGTCTGTTCTTCTTCCCTTGCCAGGTAAGAAAAAGGCAGCAGCATTGTTTGACAGCCAGGCCCCTATTTGCCCCATCTGCCAGGTCCTGCTGAGGCCCAGCGAGTTGCAGGAGCACATGGAGCAAGAACTGGAACAGCTGGCCCAACTGCCCACCAGGTAAGCCATTTAACAGGAGAGCTGCCTGCCAGGAGGCTTCCACTCGGGGCTCCAGCTGCCAAGTCCCAGGAAGAGCCTCCTGGCCCGCACCCCAGCCTCTAGGTAGAAGACAAGGCCCTGCCGCCATTCTCCTCCGCTCTGCTTTCAGTCCTCCCGCTGAATAGTGCTGCCTTTCTCTTCTTGCTCTATTTTTAGAGATGTGAGGAGAGTGGCCCCTCTTCAGGCTCAGTCTCTAAAGGGCACAAGAGGAGCTAGGAAGGGATAAACCACTGCCACAGCCCCTGCACTGCCTCGGGGAGGATAACAGCAGCAGGGACTGGGCCTGGCAGCCCCACCAGAAGTGCAGCCCAGTGCTGCCATCCAGGGGAGTAAACAGTACCTTTTCTATGAATCTCCAGGTCTGAAAAGTGACAATCTTGCCCTAGCCGGTTTGGCTCAGTGGTTGGAGCATCAGCCTGCAGACCAGAGTCCCAGGTTCGGTTCCCGCTAGGGGCACATACCAAAAATAAAAAAATTTAAAAAAAAAAAAGAAAAGTGACAATCTTGAGAATGTGTCCAGGCGTGTCCCTCACTGCTTCACCCCACCTCCCCTGCCCCTGCCTCAAGAACTGGGCAGAACCTGCTGGACAGCCTTGTGGAGGAGCCAGGTTATCAAACAGAGCAGAGGAGGGGTATAACTAATTACCCCAAATCATAGGGGTTTAAAGCAACCATTTCATTATGTTCATGGAATCTATGGAGTTGGGAATTCAGACAGAGCACAGAGGGGATGACTTGTGTCTATTCCAGGATGTCTAGGGCCTAGGAAGACTCAACAGCTGGGAGCTGGGGTCCTCTGGAAGTTCTGTCACTCCCACATGTGCCGGTTGATGTTGGCTGTCATCTGGGACTTCATCTGGGGCTGTGATCAAAGCACCTACACATGGCTTCTCCATGTGGCCCAGGCTTCCTTGTCGCATGGCAGCTTTGTGGCGGCTGGACTTCCAAGGGCAGCTTGGAGCTCTAAAACAAATGTTCTCACCAACGACATGGAGCTGCACCACCTTTTCTAACCTAGCCTCCGAAATCACTTAATGTCACGTCTGCTGTACTCTATTGGTCAAGGCAGTATTAGCCCACCCGGATTCAAAGGGAAGGGACATTCACCCCACCTTGTGATGGGAGAAAGGCGAACTCATGTTGTAAAAAAGCACGTGTGATGGGGGATGTGGCTGCAGCCATCTTCGGAAAATAAAATCTGCCACAGGAGAACAACCTGCCCCACCAGTTCAGTTCAAGTCATCGGACTAGACTGATCCTTCTTCCTGCTACCCTCTCACCTAATCCCCTGTGCAGGGTGCAGGGGGCCCCAAGGTGAATGAGAAATGCCCCACCCTCTGAAGCACATTGCATGGGGGTAAGGAGGACCGGGCGATAGAAACCCTGAGGGATAGCGATTGCTTTATGGGAAGGCCTTGGAGCTGTGGGAGCTGCAGCAAGGCACCAATCCCAGCACAGAGCACAGAAGGCCTGCTGAGGGAGGTGAGGCCCGAGCTTAATTTTGAAGGAAGATGAATTATTTGCCTATTGCTGTATTACCCCTAAACCGAGCAGCTTGAAACAACATTTATCATCTCACAGTTTCAATGGGCCAATTCAGGAAAGGCTTAGTTGGGAGGTTGAGGGGAGTTGCAGCTTCTGGCTCAGAGTCTCTCATGAGGCTGCAGTCAAGATGTCAGCCAAAGCTGCAGTCATCTGAAGATTTGACGGAGACTGCAGGATCCATTCCCAAGATGGCTCACTCACAGGGCTGTCGGCAGGGGCCTCGGGTCCTCAACACGTGGGGCTCTCCACAGGCTGCTTGAATTTTCCTATGACGTGGCAGCTGACTTCCCACAGAGGAAGTGATCTAAGAGAGAGACAAAGGAGGAAGCCACAATGCCCTTTATGATCTAGTCTCAGAAGTCATACGCTATTTCTTCCCATATATTCTACTCTATTCATTAGAAGAAAGTCACCAAGTCCAGCTTACACTCAAGAGAGGAGAATAAAACTATATAAGCTCTACCTCTTGAAGGGAAGAGTATCAAAGAATTTGTGTGAGTATTTAAAACTACCACAGAAGACTATACTATTGAGAATAATAGCAATCCTGTTGAACACTCACTCTCACTATGTGCCAAAGCATATAGTGGTATTTATTATATTGCATTAATTTATTTAATCTTCACAACTCCCTAGGGTAGGTAATAATTATTAACCCCATTTTACAGTTAAGGAAACTGAGGTACAGAGATGTTAAGTGACTTCTCTAAGGTTGCACAGCTAATAAAGTGGTAAAGATAAGATTTACACTCAAGCAAGCAATCTGACTCTAGTGTCCATGCTCTTAACCCCAAATGTGCACGTCCACACCTAGGACTGGCCTGGAAGGGGCAGAGAGTGAAAGAAATGTCCTCTACAGTTGAGTTCCACACCTTGGCTGTGCAGGAGGGTTTCTGGGTAATTTGATTCCAATGAGGGACTTCCCCTCAACGGGAACAGAGAATAGAGGCAGAGATGGAGGGACCTGCAGAACCTTGTAAAAGCAGTGCACCCCTAAGGGTCTGGAGAATGGGGGTCCAAGCTTTCTTTCTGCCTCCTCAGTGGGGGCCACACTACAGCCTTGTCCCCACGGCCCCGCCCCTGCACTGACCAGGACATGACTTCTGCCCACAGCCTTTCTTATTCCACCCCCACCCATGACCCTGCACCTGTCCCTCCTCCCCCACATCCCCTCAAAGCATCCCCTACTTCTACACCCTTACTCCCATGGCCATTTCCCCACCCAGAATTCCCACATCTGCGCCACCTCTCACGTCTGTGTGCTGCCTCCCCCACTTTTGTGCCCTCACGTCCAGGCCCAGCCCAGCACCCCCTAACCCCTGGCACGCCCCACCCCCACCCAATGTCTGACAGCCGGACAGCGGGATCTGCACAGCAAGTGAAATTCCCGTCGGATCGATAAAGCCGAAGCGCTGGCGGCGACGGGTCGATGGTTTTATCTGTCTCGGCCCCGCTGAGCCCGGCGCGCTGACAGTCCGACCGGCCGGCAAAGGCGTTCAAGGGCAGCCGCGCCCGCTGCCCCCTCCCCTCGCCTTCCCCTCTTCCCTCCCTGCGGCCGCTGCGCCCACCGGACTGCAGGCTGGACCGGCCCGCCGCCGCCCTCGTGATTTATCTGGATTTTTAATTGGAAAAAATTTGCGAATTAATTGATTTCAGGAACTTGCCAATTAACATTGTAATTGGGTGCGTGATAAATTCCCCAGGACCGTGTCAGCTCCCTGCGGGCTAGCTGGGGAGGGCTCCAGCCTTGGCTGCCCTTGCCCCGCCCCTGCCCGCTCTCAGGGAGGCAGGACGGCCGGCCGAGGAGGCTGGAAAAAGATGTAGCACCTGGTTCTCGCCCCTCCTCTCCCCGCCTTCGGCAACCTGAGCTGAGAGGGCCTTCTACCAGCCATTTCACAGATGGGGAAACTGAGTCCTGCAGGAGGGTGGAGCCTAAATGAGGGCATTCCTCTATCCATGCCACATAGCTAGAGGCTTCCTCTCCAGCACTTTCCCCTCGTCTCCATTATCCCTTCTCCTCTCTGCTCCATCCCCCTTCTTTCCTCTTCTCTCCTAACCCTTTCCTGTCTTACCCTGCCTTCGCCTCCTTTGCCCTCCCTATCCTCCCTCAGCCCACCTCAGGGTTGCTCCCAAGGAGCCCTTCAGGGTGGGCCTGGTGGTGTACCCTCAGCCTCCCTCGACTCCCACCTCAAGCAGGCTTCTATTTCAGATACCCCCCAGGGTTCACACAGAGAAGCGGGGACCTTCCAACTCCCAAACTAAGGCTGGCTGCTTTTCACAGACACAGGTGCAAACATATGTACATGATGTACAGGTACATACATCCCCATTCCAGCACCCCTACATGTGCTCACACACCCTGAGAGAACCACTTCCCAGAGGCTATGCCCATGCACCCTCCCTCGCCCCATCCTCTCTCTGTCCCCTCTCAGTCCTGCTCAGGGTTCCTAGACCCCAGGACTCAGCTAGTCAGAACAAGGAGGGCAAAGTTAGATTGAGGACAGATAGAGTAGGGCCTTCGATGCTGGAGGTTGTCCTAAAGGTAGTGGGGAATTAGAACATTGGTGAGCCAGAAGGAGGGAGCTGAGCTGTAGGAGTCCAGTGTGGGGCATGAGTTGGAAAGAGGAGCAGGGAGGCAAGTGAGGAGGTTGGGCCGGTCCATGGGACAGGTGTCTGAGCTCTGACACCTCTTCTGGGAGGCTTCCAGAGCCACTTCGAGTTCTGGCCTCTAGACTGAGAAGCTAGCTCTCTGGGCAGATGATGAGGCTGACCTAGCACAAGAGTAGTGGCAGTGGGAAGAGGGAATGATGGGAGACTGGTGGAGGAAGAAGCAAGAGAACTTAGCTGATGACTTCTTGGGTACTTACTAGGAAGAGCTTTCTGACTTGGATAACAGGATGACAGAGAAGCAACCATGTGAGGGAAGGAGATGATAGACAGGGCTCTGGGCATGCTAAGCTAAGATGCGATGGGGTGGAGTCTGGATGTGTACTGATAGGTAGGAGCACAGATGGAAGCTGAAGATTGAAGGGCAGGTAGAAGGAAGGGTAGCCCCAGACTTCTCTGTGGCCCTCAGGCAGGAGTTTCCACCCAGAGAAAAAGGCCTTGGACATAGAGAGATTGCACAAAGCTGCAAACGAGGCATGGCGTCACCTAGCCTGAGCTCAGACACCTCTTCTGGGAGGCTTCCAGAGGCACTTTGAGTTCTGGCCTCTAGACTGAGAAGCTAGCTCTCTGGTCAGTGCTTTAAAAGGACTGGAAGGAGCCAGAGAGAGGCTGGGTGACTGTGGAGGAGAGGCGGGGTGTGGAGATGGCAGTGCCCCACCCCCACTTAAGCCTTATTTAAGGCCGGCCTCGGTGTTTGGTTGGGTAATGAACTAGATAAACAATTCCCCAAATAGATTAAAACGAAGTGTAACTTACAAAGGCGGCTAGTGATGATGGTTTATTCCCGGGCAGCGCACCATTTCTTTATTTCCAAGGATAATTCAGTGTAAATCACCTTAATTAAAAGTGTCAGCCCAGCCCATGAATATTGTACTTAGGAACGCATTTCCTGGGTCCCAGTTATAATTTAAAACCCATGGATCACTAGGCAGCGAGTGACTGAGCAAGGGAGGAAATTGTTGGGGGCGGGCTGTGGAAACAGGGAGGGACAGAAGGCAGAGCTGAGCGCATGGGCTGGGCAGAAGGCGGGCTGCCTGCAGCCCTGGGGCTCAGACCTTTCCTCTCCAAGGCAGGTCCTTTGCCAGATTCCTGTCTTTGGGGAACCAGGCACATTTGGAGGTGATCAGGTAGTTGGAGGAAAGGTAGGGGGTGGGGGTGCAAGCTCAGAGAGAGGGGAGAAGTCTGCGTTAGTAGCAGTCCAAATGAGGAAAACGGAAGAGAATTGCCA